TATAGGTGAGATTATATAAAATGTGTCTTTCTCTGCCTGTCTTATTTCACTTAGCATAATGCTCTCCAGTTTCATCCATGCTGTTGCAAGTGGTAGGAGTTCCTTTTTCTTTCTGCTGCGTAGTATTGCATTGTGCAAATGTACCACAATTAATGCATTTATCATTAATTCCTTATGCTTTCAAGAGAAATACTCAGCTCACTAAATGTAGATAACTTACTATTTCACATTCAATAGCTTCATATATGACACATATGTTAAAATATATTTGTTCTCAGAGGTAAATAACTCACCTATGCTCTAATTTTGGAGGATCTATTAAATAAAAAATATATAATTGAATGACAGATTTAAATTATTTTATGCATTGTGCCATTATCAATCTCATATTGGCCTTATCTAGATAACTAACAAAATATTTCCTTTGACAAATGGATTTTTGACAACTATAAACCTTTTATTTCATGTACTTGTGTAATGTATATTTATAAAACACTGACTATATCAGGTACTTTATATATAACAAAGCACATAGCAGTGAAAAATGGACTCTTTTTAAAGTTTAGAGGCTGGTATAAAAGGCATTATACAAAGTAATATGTACTATAATTGGGACACACAAGTGTTTTATGGAACAGACAAACAAACAAAAGCAACCTGGACAAAGTGAAAAAGGCGCCTATAGAAAATAGGAATGATTTGAATTTTGAAACATATAACAATCAGAGGGAAAGAGGAAGTAATGTTCTAGGCAGCGATAATAAGCAACTACAATGAAGTATCAAGGCACTGTGATATACGGACTAAGAAACCAACATAGGAACATTACTATTAACTAAATGCCCCCAAACTCCACAACTTATTTAGATTTCCCTAGTTGGTTTCTTTTTTCCTAATGTCCTTTTTCTGTTTTAGGTTTGGTCCAGGGTACCACATTCCAGTTAGTCTTTGTATCTCATAGCTTCCTCCGACCTGGACACTTTCCCAGATGACCTCTTGTGTTTTATGACCTTTACACTTTCCGGGATCACTGGTTAGGTATTTTGCAGAATGTCCCTCAGTTTAGGTTTGACAGATGTCTTTTCTTTGGTTAGACCGGGGTTAGGATTTTGGTGACAAAGACCACAGAAGTGAAAGGCTGTTCTCCTTATATATCATCAAATGGTGCATGTGATAGGCTATTGAGGGGATATTCTTAACACATTTTATTAAAGGTTAAATGCTACCAACACAACATTTCTGAGGATATTAACTTTGATCTGAGATTGTTTGCCAAGTTTCTCCACTCTGAAGTTACCCTTCCACCCTACCCCACCCCACCTTCTGTCCCTTTTCCATACTCTTTCTTAATAAAGGGCTTACTAAGTACAGCCCACACTCAAAAGCCAGAGGTAGGGAGGCATTAAGCTCCATTCCCAAAGGAGGGCAGTATGCAGGTATATTATTTTTAATTCTTTAAGGGAATTTGTCTCCCATTTATTTATTTTTTTCCAATCATTTATCTATATCAGTATGGATCATTTTAGAAGATATTTATTTTATACTTTGGTTTAAAACACCACCGTATGTTATATATTTTGTTGTTCAAATTGTTCCAGATTTTGGCCACTGGAAGCTCTTTCAAGTTGGCTCCTGTATTCCTTTGACACATCCCATTCTTTTATTTTTCAAGCACTTCTGTAGCTGTGTTTTCAATATGCAATTGCAGCATTAAGGTATTTCATTATAAAGTTGGCAGAAAACAAAATGTTAATCCCGACACTGTTATGTATTACATAATATCCATGGGTCTAGACATATTTTATTATTTGCAAAGTGGAGAGACTATCACGTTTAAGGCATTATATTAATTAAGATGTATAATAAAAGATTGAAAGACCATGCAAAACCAATAAACGTCTCGCTTAAAATGGTACTCACTTAAAATTGCAGCTCTTCTTGGATGAATAATGTTAAATTGAAGCTCAAAATTGGCTTAAAAATGCAAAAAGTATGGCTAGTTCTTGAAATTTGAATTCTTACTTTTCACTACGGTGAACAGCAGGGCACCACCCTACTTCTTACTGTGCTATCAGAGAAAAGGCCGCTGAGCTTAATTTTGCTTTTCATTTCTCAAATCAATTTTACCTCCAGTGACATGACCCATTTTTTATTTCGTCTAAAATATACTGTTACCTTAGTAACCACCAAATTGTAGGCCTATGTAGCACTGTGGATGAAAAGAACCTTACAAAAGAGTCAAAGAAAATAAAGCGGACCGATGACTGTGCTGTGACTTGAATCTCTAGAAAGACCTACCACAGGCTATTAACCACCACAGACCCTTAACCCATCTATGCTGTCTTCACACAGATGTAAACATGCTAGAAAAGAATCCAGGCAGGTTTACAAACCTGAATTCATTTCTTACATGGCAAGAATTCTCTGAATTCATCCCACCTGCACCCCCATCCCTGCAAAAACTTAGGAGCTTGTGATGCATTCCCAAAGTCCATTTCCTTAACCAGCGTATTTTCTCTGTCCTTGGTGACATAACATGAGGTTGCAAGGGATAGTTATACCTGCACTATACAGGTGTGAGCCTGCATTTCACTTAGATTTCCCCTGTAACTTTGGATGTCTTGACTTAACAGCAGGGAAGGCACAAGTGAAATCAGGGTAAAGATAAACTGGGAGTAAGATGTTGAACTCGGTCCCACCCAGCAAGGTTCAGTACTATGGGATGTAGTGGGCTTCTCCGAGATGCTTTTGTAGCTTTTAAAATGGATGGTTTAAATATGTTTCCTCCAAGATTTCCTTTAGTTCTGAAATCTATAATGCTCTGATAAAAATTTTCCTCTGATAATTCCCCAGATGATTAATTCACTAACTGTACTGATTTCCCTAGGTCGACTTAAAATACAGTTGCCTCCTTTCATGGAGCCTTTTTTCCTCAAAATACAACTCTCAGAGGTTTGGGTTTTCCCCATGCAAAAAGAAAGGTATAAATCAAGAAAGAATAAAGGTTTTTGAGATTAATATTTGAATAAATATTGTATTCAGCCTATTTTGCAGAGAATAACACAATTTTGTATTAATGCCACTATTTCTTAAAAAAGAAGTGTCCCTTTTTCCATGAGGGGACTGTACTTTCCTTCATTCACTAGAATCCTAGACCAGCCTTGAGCTATGCAGCAATGAAATAGGTAGAATTTTCTTCCACTTTTAATTATCTAGAGTTTTCAGCATGAGCTATCAGAGGTGGAAAAATATGTATATATAACCCTTCTTTTTCATCCTTATTGCTTAGAGCTGTGTTATGGATTAAATTGTGTGCCTCCAAAATTCATGTGTTGAAATCATATCCCTTCAGAGCTCAAAATCTCATCCACTAATTCTTCATAATGTGGCCTTATTTGGAAATAGGATCATTGTGGATCAAATTAGTTATAATAAGGTCTTAATGCAGGCAGGTAGGCTCCTAATCCAGTATGACTGGTGTCCATATAAAAACAGGAGAGATCTGGACACAGACACAGGGAGACTATGATGTGAAGATTGGAGTTTTGCTCCCCAAAGCCAAGAAACTATCAGAACCTGGAAGAGAGGACTAGAATAGCTCCTTCCCTAGAAACTGCAGAGGGACCATGGCACTGTCAATACCTTGGTTTTAGACGTGTGGATTTCAGAAATGTGAGACAATACATTTCTGTTGTAAGCAGTCCAGTTGGTGGTACTTTGTTGCAGCTGCCCTAAGAGATTAATACAAGCTATAACACAGGTATATGAATTGGGAGCAGGGGTGGACTTCTTTTAATATTCCTTTCAGCAAATGTATTAGTACCATCACACCTTAAAGATTTGTTTTGCCTATTCTGTTTTAGTTAGAATGCATGCCAGTAAGTATACTTATATCAGTTATGGGGCATTTAGTGTCCCATATGGGGCTCAATCACTTACTAGCTGCAGAATTTACCTCACTGATCTTCAGTTTCCTCATATTAGTACCACTAGATCAAGCATGAGATGGGCCTATTTGTGCAGATCAAATGAGGTAACATAAGTGAAAAACAATATAGAGGCAATAGAAGGAGATGTAGCATCCAGGTGAAGGTCTGGGAACCTGCAGCTGGGCTAAATGTGTTCAAGTTCTATTGCTTCCTTTACTAGTTTTGTGATTAAACTATGGACTCAGTTCCATTAGTTAAAAATGAGAGTTATGCAGTATCTGTATCTTAAAATTGTCATGAATATCAAATGAGTTAATACATAAAAAGGTCTCAGAAGATTATCCAGCACATGGAAAGTACACAATAAATGGTATCTAAAAGATGTGCCTTGCAAACTAGAAAGAGCCATACAAATGTTAGATCATTATAATTTATAGTTAGGGAATAACTTATTGATAGATGCACTGAGCCATCAATAGCTCGGACTTTCTAGCTCAACATGCATTTTAGCAGCAGTATTTTGGATGGTTAAAAAGAGTTAAAGAAGAGCAATCAGATGAAGGCTATTAACAAGTGGGTCAGCTTCACCCAGTGAATCAGAAGAACCTTAGAACTAGTGACTACTCCTGGTATTCTTAGTCTTGTCATTTTCTTGTGTGAAAATATTGGAGAGCTAAACTTTTTGTTGAGCATTGCACTAATTGCTGTAATATCCAGACAAAAAGCAAAGGGTTTAAGTAGATTGGGCAGCAGCATTCAGAAATAAGAACTATTTTTTAAATTGCTTTTAAAAGTGTCTAATAAAGTCTTGGTTTGCATGTATTTGAATTGAGATGCATCGCCTGTCCATCACATCTCTTAGCTGATAGTAAATCAAAATAGACAGTCACTTCAATGGTGAAAGACCATCATTGGAAAGCACAACCTGCTTCATTTTAGTATCTGTCCTTACAGAAGAGAAAGAAGGATTTTAGAAAAAACACCCTATTAGTTTACTCACAGGAAATAGAAACAACTGAGCCTTTAAAAATGAGTTATATAATCATATTTATTCAATTTCATGCAACTTACCCAGGAAGTATATATTTGGAGGACAGATTGTCTCAGTGCAGTGGATAAGTTATAGTCCTCAGAACTGTGGTGTGTTTGGTGTCCAGCCCACATAATATTAACCTCTGCAAAACACATAATTTGAAATGAGCCATGAGAATGAGAACAAAGCAACTTCCATTTTCAGTCATGTATGCTGCTCTGTTGAGTGAGGAAGAAAATCTGGAACATCTCTGAAAAAAGCTAGCCAATATAATTATAATTAAAATAAGCTGCCTCAGATCACTTTTGGAAGCAAGGAGGGTATAAATTATAAACAAATAAAAAGTTGAAGCATAGCCAATAAATATGTATAGTGTATACAATATAATTAAATGCCTCCAGAAAACTGGAATGACTTCCAAAATTTACATTTTGCTAACACATTACAGTATGACAGATCATAAAAGCTAACTGGTAATGTAACAATACAGTCAATGAATGGTGATGATTTTTCAGTATGTGATAACATAGTTCTAATTAAAGAAGAATACACTGATGGGAGAAATTGCTGCCTAAATTTTGGAGTAATATATTACATAATATTCTTTCCTGATAGCATTTTTAAGAAATCTCAAAGTCTATCTATTAAAATAAGTTGCAAGGAAGAATAAATTTGCTCCTCAGATTTAAGGTCCTTCATAATGTATTACAGTTCACAGCCACCCCTAGAGACAGGTGCTTATGTTTTCTGCAACAAACAGGCTGCTAGAACAACCCCCTCAGTAGATGGCGTAGAAGAGAAGGAGCCCATGTTTTGCACTCTGTCAGTGTTTTCCACTTCCTACCTGAACTACAGATCAAAATGCCTCATTATACTATATTCCATTTTCAAAAATTATATTCATAGCTAAACTAACTTATACTTTGTTCTTTATTACGAATACAGGAGATAGAATGAACCATGGGATATGGTCATTATATGTCTGTCAGTGTAGATTAGAAATTAAATCTTTGAGGGTTTGGATTCATGGGAACTAAATAGTGAACCTAAGAGTGAAAATTTGGGGTTATTTTTCTTTGAAGTTTCCATATAATGACTGTCAAAATTTATGGCACATAGCAGAATAATTTCTTATAAGTTTTAATAAAAATTATAAGTATATATAAAATATAAGCATATATTATATATTTGCATGCAATATATATCATATATACATGCATTACATAGTATACAATGTATGTATATATTTAATATATGCATGTATGTATAATAATTTAATACATATACATATATATTTGATCTGGGTGGACTTCTTGGCCATTCATGTAGGAGATGAAACCTCTCCAGACAATCTGTGTAGGGAGTGACCACACAAAATTTGCAAAAGGGTTTTGGTAAACAAGTGATAGCTCAGAGATAAAAGAAGGACTAATTTCTGTGAGGAGAATATTATGAACAGGATTATGAAATAATAGCCCTATCGAAAGTCATTTTTATTAAAGTCATGTACTTGCAAGTATATTTATAAACCATCAGTTTATATGTAACTTAGATCCCAGTTGGTTAACATTTTGATCACATATAATAATGACCCATATATAGTATTTTTACCCAAGTAATTAAGGTAATTCTTCTTTGACAAATAAGAACTATTTCACCATAATGACTTCTAATTTCCCTGGCATAATCCTTGAAAGAACCTAGAACCTAAATCTCTGGTTTATTGGCTAGCTTATACAGCTATGAATAAGAGATATACAACATTCCCATGATACTTGATAACTTCAGATGTTATGTGGAAGTTCATTAAGAATTAATAAATTTGATGAATCTCCTAAGTCTCTTAAAAGTTCTTACAGATTGAGTACCTGAATCAAACTAAATGCTATTTTCTCTCTAGAACACATCCATTGTTGAACATTTCAGAACCCTTGACTTATAAACTTCATTACAAATAAAATCATTGTCCATTTTGTTGGTTGCTTTAGGATTTGTTTTAAAAATTTATCATAATGCATCCATGTTATGAACTCACATGGGAAAAACCAATCAGATGAGGTTAAATTAGAGGGCGATAAGATGTATTGAAACTACTTCCTTATAACCTCCACAGAAGCTCAATGGCGGAACAAAGAATCCACAAAGGTGGAGGTCAAAGACCTGTCTCTTTAGTTGTTTTAAAAGCATTTACTTCCTATCACAAACTGTGTGTAACACAAGCCCTCATTCAATGAAGTGCAGCTGTATAAACACGGTACAGTAACTGGATCCGATTGCCTTCCCTCTGTCACTTGGCAGAATTGGGGAAAATAAGAATACAGGATTTTTTTTCACAGTCTATATTCAGCTTACTTTAAGTAAAGTGATTATAAACTGTAACTTATGGAAAATTATTCTAATAGCTCTTTTGTAAATAAAATGAGAAAAAGTTAATAGTGCTTTTGCAAATATGTTCATCTTCCCTAATTCTTGAATTGATGAATTGTCTGTTCTAAGGAATAAAACAAATATTAAAGTGAAAAATAGTATTATCACAATAAACTTCTTTCTATAAAAGAATATAATTTTCAGTCAATAACAATTCTTTTTTCCTATAAGCAAATTATTGATTATACAAGCATATGGTATATTATCATGACCTTTCAATGATACAATTAGAAAAAAATATGCTGCTTGCATCAAAATGTAGATTTGTAGAAAAATATTTTAATACATTGCCCAATCACTCAATTTGCTTGGCTAAAATTAAATGGTTTTTGTGTGTTTGTGTGTAGGTTATATTTTTGAGTTTAACTTTTTTCTATTTTTAAAAATTAAGCTGTAACTTACATATAATAGAATCCATCCCTTTTAGTATCCAGTTCTATGAGTTTTTACCAAACAAGTATAGCTATGTAATCACTGTCACAATTAAGATACAAACCAGATTTCATTACCCCCAAGGGCCCCCCCCTTCACTTTGAGTTGGTGGCAGGCTGACTCTAACATGGCCCCCTGATTCAGATGATGAGATTCTGGACTTTGAACTGGCAGTGTACTGGGATAAAACTCTTTGGACCTTGGAAGAGGTGAATATGTTTTGAATGGAGGAAAAAATATACAGGGGTCCAGATGGCTGCCTATGAGAGGCAGCCTCCAATTTTGGCCCCCAATAATTCCTGTCTACTGGTGTTCATCCTCTTGTTTGATCCTTCCCTTTGAGTGTGAGATAGATTTAATGACTCCCATCTGGGGAACATAATTTTGGCAAAGCCAATGGGATGACACTCTTGGGATTAGTTTATAAAAAGACTGGCTTACGTGTTGGGTGCTTTTTCTCATACTCTCACAAATTCTGTCTGAGGAAAGTCAGTGGCCCTGTTGTGAGCTGTCCTTTGGAGAAATGCCTATGGCATGGAACTAGGAGTGCCCCAAACTAACCAGCTAGCAAGAAACTAAATTCCAAATTCCACAAGGAATTGAATCCTGCCAACAACTACATAAGTGAATTTGGAAGCAGATCCCCTCCACAGTTGAGCCTTCAGGTAACACTGCAGTCAACAGACTGCTTAACAGCTTAACTGCAACCTCATGAAAGATCTTGAGCCAGATGCACTCATGTAAACTGTATGAAGATTTCTGACCCACAGAAACTCTGGGAGAAGCCACTAGTATGTTACAATGCAGTAGATCATTAATACAGTGGTCAGTCCCCCTCAACCTCATTCTCAAGTCGCTAGTGTGCCCTGGTTTGGTTTCTTTCCTTTAGTTTTGCCTTTCTGAGGATGTTATATAAATGAATTATACAGTATTTAGCCTTTTGTATCTGATTTATTTCACTTGGTGTAATGTGTTATAGATTGTTCCTTTTTTTTTAGCTGAATAATATTTCATTTGTATACATGTACCAAAGTTTCATTTTGTTTGTTTTTATCCATTCACTAGTTGAGGAATATTTCAGTTGTTCTCCTTTTAGGCAACTACAAATGAAACATCCATAAATGTTCTAATACAAATTTTCTGTGATTTTTTTTTAATTTCACTTGGGCACAATACCTAGAAGTGAGGTTACTGAGCTGTACGGATGTTAACATTCAGCTAATTAAGAACTGTTTTCCAAAATGGCTGTGCTATTTTGGATAATCATCAACAGTGTATGAGAGATAAATTTGCCTCACACCTCTAGCAGCATTTGACATTATTTTCATTTGTATACATGTATTCAATAGCATTCTAACTTGCCATTGCCATAATGGATAATGACAACGAACTCCCCGTGTGCTTATTTACCATCTGTAAATCTTCTTCAACTGCCTATTTGAAATCTGTGCCCACATTTTAATTGGGTTATTTTTTATTGTTGAGTTTTGAGAGTTCTTCATATATTCTGCATACAAGTCCTTTATTAGATGTGTGATTTGCAAACATTTTCTTTTATGAGACTTTTTATACATTAACTATATCTTAGGAAGAACGAAAGTTTTAATTCTGATATAGTCTGATTTATATACTTGAGAATTTTGTGAAAAAATATTTTTAGTGTATATAACAAAGAACAGGGACAATTTGGGATAAGTTTTTCAGAATGATGAGAAATTTGTAAGTGTCTAGGAACTAAGAGAGTCTATATGTATTATACACCTAAAATATATCTATGTAAGTCTCTTGTTTTATACCTTGTCGGCTACTGAATTGAAAGAAATAACTCTTTAGATTGATCTGAGACATAAACAGAAGTCTATGTGGGTCTTTTTAGGCTGTATGATAGCTATTTAACCTTCAATGGTGGATAGACCAGGAAGTCTTTAGGCATCTTCGGGGTGATGATATTCACTAAGAATTTGGAATATCCTCAAGTCATAAAGGAAAAAATGGTACAGGCATATTTGCATGTTAGTGATGCTTGGCACCAAAAAAGCATGTTAGAAATATTTTATACAACATTTAGCATATTGTGTGCTGACTGTGGGACATAAAAACTGCAGAGTATTTTAGTTTACATTTTTAATTTTATAAATTATAAAAATTAAATTAAAAAGGGAAAGGAAAAAGAGTTTCAGTAAAGGAGAGAAATATTTTGAATTCCCTCTCCCAGCAGTGATTAATTTTATGCATTTACTGCCCTCTTGGATATTTTTTTATTGCTATGTAATTGACATATAA